CATGGTAATTCGCAGTTCATGGCCACCGTAGCGGAACCGACGGAGTTCCACACCATCCGAACAAGTCTGTTAGCAAGTCTACTTGATCACTCGCTGGAAGCGCATGCAAACCGATAACTGAAGCAACCGAGGCTGCCGTATAAGCACTCCTCCCCCATGACACTGTCACTCGCTGGATTAAAGTAAAAATACATGATATTTGTAAAGTCAGCATACTCGCATCTTCTAAATTCTTTTAGAAAGTTTACCACCATATTGGGGGGCTGCAGGAGCAAACCTCGCCGACAAGGATAACGGAGGAAACTCACGGTGAATTGAATTACGCTCCCGGAGACGGCAAACACGACCGCCATCATTGAAGTCGCCAACGCCGTCAGACGTCCGACAGCCATTCCACTGAAAGACCACACCGGTCCCAGTCGGCTGTGTGTATATATGGTCTCCTGCCGCGAAGGGCTTGTTTACCTCGCACCTGACCTGACATCCTGTTTTGTGCTTCTGGAATTGGGTCATTACAGGCCTTGCCTTCTCCTCCTCCCGACACTGACCCCCAGGGGGCCGGTCACGTGATGCCCCCCCTAGACTTCCTGTGGCGACTGTTGGGGGGGGGGGGGTTGGCGAAAGAGCGTTCGCGTACTCTTTCAATTGGAGAGAACTGCACTTGTAGAACAAAACACTTGTTAATCCCTCGGCTGTATGACAAAGTCACATCGACACAAATCAGTCTAAACAATGTGCATGGCCGTTGAGTTAGTGCATTTCGGTCTCCTTACACATCGGATAGCGGATTATTAATGAGAACGGGGACTATGGAGACGCGCGGACGTAAGTACTTTCATCCGGAAGGGTTCGTCCCACAAACGGGCCATGCGATAGACGCGCAGAACCAACACGCGGGCTGGATCGGAGTCCGGCAAGCATTATCGGCGATGTGCACTCATAACAAATGCCAATGTTGGGGTGTGGTGACAGACGTATTTTCAGGTACACGCTGCCCCGGCTATCCGAGCCGCCCCCCCCCTCCCCACCATGTCTGTAGTTGTTTAAAATTCCGATCAAGTGTTTCTTGTGAAGCAGGGGGCTGTGGTGGTACGTCCGAGTGCCGGTTTACGTCGGGTCAGCCACCAGCAGTCCCTTCCGCCTCCGGTCTTCTCGACTACGGCTTGAAAACCGGGCCTAGGTGGATGAGGATGCGGTACAGTGGGTGGGTTAACTCATGAAATGTCAACTGAAATTCCGAAATGCGTTTTCGTTTCGAAAACATTAATTAAGTAGGGTTGTAGAACTAATCAGTCTGCAGTATAATTCTATAATAGTTCAGTTACCACAGGATGTCGGCTTTCGACAGAACTTCCATCCGGCTGTATGCAAAAATTATACTCTGTAAAAAATGACTACTTAAGCAGCATGCATTTTTCTTAGTTATTTTCCATGCCTCTAAAAGTCCAATTATATTTCATGGAGAACATGTATTAAAATATTCATTCTTCCGCTCATTCGGTAGAAAATTGCGTATTCTTTTGAGTTAATACTCGAAGGAAGGGTATAATTCGGTTTTCAAAAACTTTTCCAATTCTCGAATAATTTTGAATCTGTTCTGCCGTCACACTTGCATTCAGGATTTCCAAACTACAAGCCACGTATTTCCACCGTACGGAAAACCATACATTTCTCTACGGTATTAAGAGGAGACCATATGGGAATCATAAAATTTAGCATTGCATTTGATCCATATTTTTAACTTTATGGTAAATGCAGAGACGTGACGTTTTATGAACAACCATTTTACGGTATTAAAAAGTCTTACAATTCGAGACTTTTTTAAAAACGAATTATAAAGCAAATTGAAAGAAGACGTAATTTTCTACCGAATGCGCGAAAGAATATTTTTACGCATGTTTTCCATGAACCATAATTGGACTTTTAGGGCGTCGAAAATTAAAGAGAAAAATGCATGGCATTTAAGTAGTCATTTTTACGGAGTATTGATTTGCGCGCGGTCGGAAGGAAGTTCGTTCGAAAGCCGGTATCCTGGGGTAACTGAATTATTATAAAATTATACTGCAGACAGATTAGTTTTACAATCCCCCTTAATCAATCTTTTCGAGACGAAAATGCATTTCGGAATTTCAGTTGACATTTCATGAACTGCCGTAGATGATGCGCAAATCTACTACCACTTTAAACTAAATCACACACAAGTCAGCCTCCCTACTCTCACACTGCTGTCGTGCATACGGTAGACATAGTTAAAACCGATGGCCAAACTGTCAGAGGTGCATCACCAGTGACGGCAAAAGGACTGTGACGAATGTGCAGTCTGTGTGTGATATCGTGTTTCGGCTGCGAGCTTTCTAGGCTGGGAACTGCCGCACGACTTCTGGCAGTGTGATCTCAGAGCATGTCATGTATGAGACACCCCGGTCCACAACACCACCACCACCACCACCACCGCCACCACCACCACCACCACCACCACCACCAACAGCTGGGCAGGCACGCTTACGACCAGTATACGCAGCGGGAGCGCAAGCGCATCTACCGGTAGGGAAGCATGAAGCACCACCACATATTCAGGCCACGGGCGGCTCTGGATATATCTTACTGTCGGGCTGTGCCCATGTGCTTTGGTCTACGAGATCATAATTTATGTCCGGCTTCCGGGTCGTGGGCAGAAACTTGGGACAGTGCGTCACCGCTCCACACAGCCCCTTCATAAGTGTACCCTGGACAGCTAAGAAAACTATCATTATCAACCAACATATCGGTCCGGTTTCCGCCCGTTACGCGTTAAACCCCGGGCAGGTGGAAGTGGCTCGTTTTCACAAGCAAAGGCACGCGTGGCAGACTTGCTACCGTTCATTTACCACTTCCGTCGGTCGACTTGCAGGGGGAGCTGAGGGGTCACCAAAATGTACTGAAAGCTCCCTCGACCAACTTATTTTTCCCCTCCATCGAGGACCTGCGACTCCGTCTGGCCTATGTCGCGACAGGTTACGCCAGAGGGAGGCCCTGGCCACTACGACCCTCAGGCCCGATCCCTAAGAGAAGCGCAGTAGGTGGGCTAACTCATGAAATGTCAATCTAAATTTCGAAATGCGCTCTCGTATCGAAAAGATTAATTAAGGAGGGTTGTAAAACTCATCACCATGCAGCATAATTCTATAATTATCCAGTTACCTCGGGGTGTCGGCTTTCGAATGAACTTATTTCGGAGTGCATGCAATAAATATACTCTGCAACAAATGACTACTTAAGTAGCATGCTTTTTTCTCATTGAAATTCGATGCCCTAGAAAATTCAATTATATTTCATGGAAGCCATGCATAAAAATATTCATTGTTTCAATCTTTGCGTAGAAAATCACGTCTTCTTCCGACTTTATACTCGAAAGAAGGGTACAATTCGGTTTCAAAAAAGTTCCTAGCTAAGAGATTTTTTAATACCGTGAAATCGCCGTTCATAAAAGGTCATGTATCTGCATTTAGGAATGTGGCTTGTAAACTGAACAATATTGCTCAAATCCAAAGCTAAATTTTATGAACCCCATATAGTCTCCCTTTAATAACGTAGAGAAATGCATGGTTTTCTGTACACGGAAAATATACGATTTGTAGCTTTGAAACCCCGAATGCAAGTGTAACAGCAGGTCAGGTTCAAAATTATTCGGGAATAATAAAAATATTTTAAAATTAAATTATACCCTTCTTTCGAGTATAAAGTCCGAAGAAGACGTGATTTTCTACCGTATGTTTTCCGTGAAATATAACTGAAAATCAATAAGAAGAAAGCATGGTACCTAAGTAGTCATTTGTTGCAGAGTATAGTTCTTGCATGAAGTCGGAAATAAGTTCATTCGAAAGCCGACACCCTGAGGTAACTGGCTCATTATAGAATTATGCTGCATGATGACTAGTTTTACAACCCTCCTTAATTAATCCTTTCGCGACGAGAACGTATTTCGAAATTTCGGTTGGCATTTCACGAGTTAGCCCACCTACTGTAGGTGAAATTGAACGCCAATAGATTAAGCATTGAATTCTGTAGAGAATGGAGGATAATTTAGGGCTGGTTAGAAGCCAGACGAGAGCACACCTCCGGCCACGCGAGAGTAAAAGTCGCAATGATAGTGGGACATGCGCCAGAGCGTCCTGAGCAAAAGCCTCCGGGCTGGCCTTGAAGCTGATTGGCCAGCCTTGATAGCAGCCGATTGGCACCCGGAGCAAGGTCACGCGCGAAGTCGACTAAGGCGATTCAGAGTATCCTCAGTCGAGAGCAAGCACGCCACAGCGCCCCGTTAATCTGAGAGTATGTTGCATGTCCATCAGCATCGCAAGTCTGGTCGAGCAACATCTCTTCTACATTGACCACTCGAACATGAATTGTGTGCATCTGTCAGAAACTTATGCCCTAAGGGAACAGTGATACTTGATCATGTTGAACCTCACCGAACAGTAGTCGATGGCAGTGAAATTTAAAGGTATGGATTTGAACAGATCGGATTTGAATCAGAGTTCAAGCGCCAGAGCCAAATGCTGGCGTCTGGTCTGTCGTCGCCATTAACCAGACAGGAAGTATAGGGCACTCCTCGATCCGGCCGGTTGCAGACAGTTTGCTAGCCCGCGAGAGACACGCCATGTTCGGAAATCAACTCTAATTCCGAAGTCAGTAGTGTTTTTTGTTTACTACTAGTTGGGCGGTCACCGAGGCGGTCTTGGCTGTGGTAACTGGTTAGACCGCACGAAAGTCGCACTATGGCAACCTCTCTACCGCCCCCCACCCCACGAATCCTGGATTTTTGAGAAAAGCAGGGCTTGTAACCGAAAACGGATAGAGACAGTCTAGGAAATGCATACGCACTAGCACGCAGTGGTGGTGACGGGACGGAATGAGGTCTTCGACTGGAGCTCGATGAGGGAGAGCTGGTAAGAAATTTATCTTCAAGACAAAATGTACAAAGGCTCGGGGGTAATCAGGGGCATATTGTACACGGGATCATTTTAGGCGACAGTATCAGCACCGGTCCCATCCGCCGCTGCCACCTCATCTTCGTCCTCCTCTTCCTCTTCTTCCTCCTCCTCTCTTTCTTCACCTTCCGCGTTGGCGGCGTCTGTCGGAGGCTGCTCGTTTCGTTCCACGCCGAGTAGTTTTCCAGTGTCTGAAACACTGGCCAAAAACTCCGGCGTCATGTACTGCTCCAGAAGCAGACGCTTTCGCTGCTCCACAAGGGCCTCTTCCACCTGGTAAGTAGAAAGATGGAAACAGTTTTGATCAGGGAGCGGATGGAAGGGGTGAGTAGCCCGAAAAATCCTCATGTTGCATGCAAGGGAGAAAAAGCGCGAAGAAGGTTGTCCTCTCATTTCCGCAGGTCGTATATCGGAGCACTAGAATTATCAGGTCAGTGGAAACTGCCATTAAAACGGTTAGTCTACCTAGACGAATGTATGTTTCCGAGCATACATCAACGCGTCGTGATACTTTGACAGAACAATATAAGTTAAAGAAGGAGAAAAAGTGCCGCCTTTATGCACGAAAGATGACATTCGGAGGAGGGGGGGACAAGATTAAGTGTCGCGGGGGCGACAGAGGTGATTGCTGCACGGCTAGGGAAGCCCGCCCTACGCTCAAGACCATTCGTTTAGGTTCAGCAATCGCGCTGACTTAGGTCGATCCTGATGGCCCAAACACAGGTGGGCGGCCAAGGTGGTTGACTTGATGCGTCCCCGCGCCTGCAGTACGATTGTGGACCTCCCTCAACCAACTAATCTGCCCTCCCCTACCCACCACCCGGGGACACTTGCCCCTTCCTTCTCCCGTTCATCCTCACTTCCCGAACCAGGCTCTCCATCACTATCACTGAAACCCCCTCCCCCCCATGCACTGACAACGTTACTAGGGAAAAACAGTGTCTCGCCAATCCGTATTTTTTATTTGTAAATGCGTTACGATGCATGACCGAAAAAGCACGTTTGTCCCAGCTGACTACCATTTTTGCTATTTATTTCTTTGACTTCAATGGCGATGACTCTGTGGCCCACGGAAATGGTGATTGGGCAGAACCAACTGATTTATGTAATAGTTCCAGTGCGAACAATAGTACTTCCTATAATGCGTAAGCAGCTCGTTAAGGGTGCCACAGGCCAGACAAAGACGGCCGTTACCGATCATCAGTACGTTGTAGGAACACTAGGCGTGAAAAGATGTCTGCAGCAAACTACAGGATGGAGTTGAGACTCAAGGGGTGCTAATGAGATCACCAAAAGATATATTATCGGACAGTCTACGCATTTAAGAAAACGATCGTCAAAAAAGTTCTCCCTAGAGAGTAAAAACAGCATAAGGGTACCTACAGAGTAGAATGCGGGGCCCACTAACGGCGTGGACAATGGATAAACCACGTAAGTGTTAGTCCAAGCTAAAGTTACTCATCTCGCCCATAAAAAACCCAAATGTGACACGATTGAGAAGAAAAAGGGCTCTTTACATCGACTAATCTCAACAAGTAATGGGTTTATTTGATGCTGCACAAGCACCCTACCCACATACACACCTCTAGGTTACGCATGAACCCATTCCATAACACGCGCATCCACTTAACGGACGAGACGCCGCGGGTCAGATCTCAATTACGCGGCGTATAGGGACGAGGAAGCAGGCCGTGTGTGTGAGAAAGATAAGCAGACAGGCACGTTAATTTTGTCAGTCACTGAGTCCAATCTCATCGCCTGTTGTTTGGACAGACCTACACTGGAGAATCCAACCCCACGGAAAGTCGGCGCACTCCCTACTATAACAAATGCAACACGCTCGAATCAGGGATGGTGTGCAAGTGCTCGTGGCTTGGAAGGCTACCAACAGACTCGTTTCTTTTCGGGACTGGGTGTCAGGCTGCAGAAGTTCATTCTCAATGTGCCCCTTATTACACTCTGAGCCAGGCAAAATCTAAGACATCTTGCTAAACCCAGTCCGTTACATATGTCGCTCGTGTGTGGCACGCGTAGACGGGTTGTCCGAGTGTGTTCGCGTCCACCTTCTGTCTCCCTGACTCTGTCTCCTCATCGGATGAAAGTGAGCGTGCGAGAGTGCGGCAGATGCTTCGCAACTGCGCTCCCGCGGGAGCCACCGCTGTCGGGTCCACTTTCTGGGACAGTGAACGTCGTCGAATGCGACAGTCAAACTGTCACTCAGTGGGGGAGCGGCGCTGGCTGGTTCATTTCGTTGCAAGGCAGAATATGCGGCGATACCATGTTCGCAGTCATTCCCGGTGTCTTCTCACGTCCCGAATACTGATTGCTAGTCGCTAAACGATCTCCCGGACGTGCTCTACATCCAGGGCTCAAAGGCAAAATAAAAGTGTCCACTTCTCTTTTGGAATTAATGTAGATCGGCGAACGTCACCCTACGTGACTTGGCGTATTCCCCGAGCTCAGTCAGCATAATGCTGACACAGTAGGTAAGGTGCATGAACCGCTTTCAGCAAATGTTCCATAGGTCACTGATCCCGAGTTGGGCTATCACTAGCTGGTCCAGTTCGGTCTGGCTTAAGTCTGTCGGTGGAGACCGTATCAGTCTGGTTTGAATGAGTTCAGTTTTGTTAAGGCAAAGGTAAGCGAATGTCTTTGAACTCCCTATTGGTTACAACAACGTCGTAAAGGAAAACACCGACATATAAAGAACGTTGGAAAAAGATTGACTATAGAATGCATGCAACAAGCAGGTAGCCGTCAGGAAAATACTAGTACGCGTCTATGCATGCGTGACGTGGTAAAATTTTCAACATATAAAAACGCGTTACTGAAATATGTCAGGTAGCATGGAAGCCGACAATAAAAAGTCCGCCAGGATGCACCAGACTACATGTTTCTATGTATGATCGGTAACGCGTAATTCTCGAAGAGGATAATACATGGGTAGAAATGTGGTGGCTTCTGATGGCGTGGTATGGCTGTGCCGGTCAAACTTCCTCTTAACTGCGTACACGGATGGAGGCATGACGACGTCCACCGGCAGTGTTACGTGCCTTGTGCTCACCGGTAGGTCAGTATATTCTAAGGGTATTAGGCAATGCCTTATAAAACCCTATTGAATACGGTACATGCAATATCTACCTTTAAATAAACGTCGTACTAAAATGCTGTCAGTAATGTATACAAGTAACAGAATATTTTTTATTGAAAATGCAGGACCGAAACTCGAGAACATTCAGTCGTAGATGATATCGGTAAAATGAAATGACAATCGTCCGCATTTGCGGTAGGCGTATGCAAGGCGTTGGTTTGGCACAACGAAGGTGTTTTGTCCAGACATGTGGTATTTAACAAGCAAATATACATCTAGTCTATGCTTGAATGTCTCCAAGGAGTCCGCCATTATCACGTACTCGGGAAGCCCGTTCCAGGCACCGACGACTCGCTGTGAAAAAGAGTATCTGCGAACGCCCAGGCGGCATCGGAATTTTAAGCTAGTAGTGGTTTCCAGCTCAAAGACGCCGGATGCGAAGTAACAATCCTGACCCCGCATCAAATAACCCAGAAGTGGACATTTCAATATACCCTTGCCTTGTCGGTAACACTCATTGAACAAACTCACCGCTAGATATCAGTGGGATCGATTTTTAAGGTGTACGCTGCCTCCTGGAAACTTGGAAATAGCCTGAGAACAGACCTAATAAGGACTGCCTATTAGTTTTCGCAAAGATCGTTTTAGGGAGGCATAAGAAAACCTTGAATGGAGTTCTCAAAATATCAAGACCGATTTTTGGAGGATTTTGACAAAAAGAGGACTAAACGTATTCTGTCTGTGCATAATTGCCTTTGAGTCAAAGCGCGGGTTATGAGGCGGCTTTTCAGAGTTAACGGATACAAGCAAATGCCGAAAAAAATACATTATAGATCGAACCGACGGCACGCCAAGGTTGTTGGTCCGTGACAAACAAATAACTTGCTGCTGACGTAAACAAGAAATTTACGAATACATTAGAAAAGAACGTGTCGGAAAGGGTTGGAAATGTACCTGTTTTTGTGAAGGAACTGCAGTGTGTGCCACAAATGTGCGTTTCAACTTCTCGCCCGGACGCAACCTGCCACTCTTTGTCTTTAGGAGTTTTGCCAGGTCCAATTCCTCCTCCTCTTCTTCAACACTGGAAAGGGCCATAGCTAAGGAAGCGTGGACGGTAATTTCTGAATCCAGGGTCTTCTTCATATCAGCGTCTTTCTCTATCTCCGCGTAAAGTTTCAGCAGTTCCGTGTCTGCTGGCTAAAAAAAAAATAGTGCGATCGACATTAGCGGTAGCTGATAAGGACGAACATACTACTACTACTACTACTACTACTACTACTACTACTACTACTACTACTACTACTACTACTACTACTACTACCACCACCACCACCCCCACCACCATCACTACTAATTTAATGCAAGTAGGCGTTGTTTGTAAGCATAAAGTCGTAATGGGAAGCAACTACAACAAGCAGGAACCCCTTTCCCGCATACACCATGGAAGTACGAAAGTAATACGGCCAGAAAACTTGTATCGCTAAGAAAAAATACGATCGCGGCCACAGGGACATGATTAATTTTTGCCTAGACTGCCAAACTACACATGGAACTGTTAGCCATTAGGGACTGGCGGGCTCAACGCGTTATCAAGATGATGAACGGATAACTGTGCGACCGTCATTGTGGCAGAGATTACCAGCCCACAGTTCACGACATTATCGGATCCTTGAAGTACTGCCCCGATACCGTCTCAACCTCCAGCTGATGCACGTACAGGCGCGCCATGATGTGTTTCAGAATAGAATTTCCTGTCGACAAATCCCAGTTCTCATCGGGGTGCACAGGATGGAATACACTGAAATAAAACATAACTCGGCCGTCCCAGATACTGGCTTCTTTATGGCGGAAAAAGTGGAGGGCTCCATCACTCCTTAGATGTCTTCGTCAGCAGTTAAACCAACGCCGGACTGACGGCAAACCTGTACGTAAAACTCACGATCACACTAAAAATGCAATGTTTTAGCGACAAGTACGGGCTGAAACACAACATTAGTTGTGCGTACAAGTTGCGTCGGCAAGTAAAAGCGATGTGCAGCAGGTACATTTCAAAGAGAGCCGATGCGAACCATCTGGTAGAGCTCCTTAAGGTATTCGTGAACGTTCGTCGAGAGGAACCGACGACGAACAGAGGCCAACTAACCCACGCTATGACGATGTATACCGTACGCAAAACGCGTACTGGAGGCCGTCGCTACGCTCCTCAGACCTCTCAGGGTTGGAATCACCCACAAGGCCGACTCAACACGTCGTTGTCAGGTGGTCCACCCACCCAAATAACCCGGTCGGCAAGGGAATGCCGTCGTCGCCTGCTAACAAAAAAGCAGTTGCGGAGAACGCGTAAAGATTAAAGACAGGGATGCACGAACACTGTATAGCGGTACGGAGGTGCGACAGAAATTCGCGACTGGCCACAAACCTGACTTCGGCCAGGTCGACCTCATGAGTCAACTCGATGACCACGTGGCAAACGCAGGTGCAGGTAGCACGATTGTCGAGCGCCCGCCGAACTAACCCGTAGACAATGCCTGTAAACTGGCATTAAATAAAATTATCAAAAATATCAAATTCGGACGCCTCAAGCGTGTCTGACTGCGTTAACACAGGTTATGAACAGGAAAACTCACCAGTGGGTTGTGTGTGATGCCTCCTTGCATAGACTACCATGGACTTTAGTCGCAAGTGAAGCTTTGAAAGCCGAGGGGATATCTAGATAAACGTAGGCTGATTGACATACCTTTATTCATTGTTGCCTTCTAATTTCCTCAGAAATCAACTGCTATGGTCTATAAGCGCAGACCGAAATTTGATCTACTTGAAGTTAGCAGTTAACGTCTGAGGAAGTCAAAACGTAACAATGTTTAAACTGCAGTATCCACCAAAAAGCACCCGGGGAGTGCTGGGGTACCCACTGATGAGTCGAACTCCTCGCATCTGTGCCATGAAGCGGCAGAATATCAGCAAGACACGTGTGTCTGAACTTTTAGCTAGCACCTGTGCTGCTAATATGTTATCTCTTAACGCTAAAACACCTTTATTCAGTCCACAAAGAGGCTCGCTGTCATCAGGGACATCTAAGAATAAATATCCGACTTGTACAGTTCTGGGTGGCCGGACGAAAGAAGTATACGCCTGCCGCAATGATGTATTAAATATACTATATAATAAAAGGAAAAGGCTCGCCGGAAAATCGAGGTATACTCGTGAATTTTCAAGTCAGTTACACCAACCCGTCGTCAGACGAAATGAACAGTGTGAGGGAGATAATTGCACTAGGGAGCTGGGGTGACATCGAGATTACATCGACAAGACAGACGTTTATGTGTGGGGGGGAGGTGCTGAATCCGTGATATTCTACATGGCCAACACGGACTAGCAGTTGGTGTCTTAGGGTGGGCGCAAGCCGGCGAACCGTGAACGTAAGCCTTCGCAGTGAGCGTCCAAGTCGACATGGCGGTTGATGTTATAGTTATTAGAGTGCCAAGCTTCTAGAAACTCTCGCACTTGTTTGGTGTTGGCATTAGCGATCACTTCGGTCCTCTCCCAGTTGAAGCGGTGATCACACTCAAGGGCGTGCGCAGACACGAGAGACAAGGGGTCCGGTCGGCGGATGGTCAACTTATGTTGGTTAATGCGGGTCCCGAGTCGTCGGCCGGTATGCCCAACATAAACGCTAGAGCAGTTTGCATATGGAATGCGGTAAATGACATTTGTTTGCTGCTCATTCGGTATAAGGTCTTTTGCCCCGGATAATGTCGTGCGCAATGAAGACGCCGGTTTGTGGGCGATGGAGATGCCAAATTGATTGAATTATCGAGCGATCGCTTCGGAAATTCTCGGCATGTAGGGCAGGGAATAGAATTTTCGTGATATCCTGTCTCCGTTAGAGTCGACGTTTTGTGGTTGTCGATGGCGTCTGAGACAATTTTTCACAAAGCTCACCGGGTATCCGTTGAGTCAGAAAAGGCGATACAAGTAGGCCAGTTCTTTTTTGTGAAAATCGGCGCTACTGCAGTACCGATAGGCCCTGTGGAAAAGGATCCGAACATAGCTTCTTTTATGGGCAGCTGGGTGGTTACTCTGATAGCTCAGGATGATCTCAGCGATAAACGCTTGTTGCGATGCCCCCGTCACTGAGCTTTTGTATGCTCACGTCTAGGAACTCACGTCTATATACTGCTAGCGCTTCTGTCGACACCCCGTCTGCTGTCATGTCCTGGCTAGTACGGCAAGTGTTTGCCTGTTCTCATCCACTTGGAGAGGGGGGTGGGCCAGTTTGGGTCCGAAAGTCATAACGGGCAGCTCGCTACGACACAGACAGTGAAATGGATAAACATGCGGAAGCGCACGGAGACGAAGCCGACGCACGTAGCGGCTGAATGCGGGTCTGACTCGTCAGACAGTGGCGCATTTCGTTTGAGAATTCAGACGCAGAACATATACACCCCAGTTATCGCCCCTTGCTACCCTTCAGTTAATTTGGTTCCCCGCGCGCAAGCGGTGGTCCGTATGAGGGGACGCAAACGAGAGGACTTACATTGTCACCAGTGTCATAAATATCCTTTTCGTCTGGATTCTCATCATCTTCCTCCAGGTCTTCCTGGTATTGCTTTGAGCGAAGATAGGCCGCCTTTCTGCCTGCCGCCTCTTCATCGTGGCGCCTCTTCCAAATTTCAGCTTTCCGGGCCATCACTGACAGACAGAACAGGAATTTAGTAGTTGGGAGTAGGAACGGGGCAAGTTACCAGGCATTAGTAAAACAAACCAGGTTAGGCAGAATGGCATTACCGACAAAGACAGAGGAGACTGGAATGGCCATTTCTGGCTTATTAGTTGTCGTCAGCCAGTCCTACCCAACCCCGAAGTGTGGAACATCCGAGGCTCGAACTCGCGACCTGTTAGTTAGAAGTCCGCGCCTCTAACAACTGGGCCACGAGCCCGTTGTCCAGGTTAGGTGGACGTAAAAGACACTTCAGGGTGGGTAAGGATCACAGCCCCTCAGATCCGTCGCCACATTATTGAGCCAGTCAATAGCAGCTGTGCAGCGACGAATTACGATAGGAGCCATTAAACAAAAAAGTACAGGACTGTTCTAGGTTTGCGTCAAAGAATTCGTATCCAGCAGTCACCCCCTATATATACGGTTCTACAGGTCGCTTAGAAGGGAGGACAAATTCCTCTCTAACCTACCAGAATGGGCGTACTGTTTGGTCAAATTATCTGAAATATTACCGTGCAGCATGTACAGATGGTGCGGTACACCTGTACACGGTAACGTTGCCCTAAGAAAGTCACTGAGAAAGACGACCGGAAAGTCGTTTCTCAACCACTGGTTGTTCTTAATGCGACCGCCGTCTGGGTTTCCAGGCCAGATGTAACGCCGATGCTCCGTCAGGTGAAATCTGTGAAAAATCCTGTATGGCATTGCATTTAGTGGGATGCAGTGTCCTTTTTACAAAGGTATCTGGCAGAAAAGACTGCATGTGTCCTAAACTGGTGGTACGGCTGCTTACCCTCATCATTTTATGCAAAAAGGGAGGCACTCATCGGGGATTTCCAGGAGGACACCTTAGGCATCGAAGTCTGTAAAAAGTAATCGGCCGGTTAACTCAACGCACAGCTGTTAGTTACTTAACTACGTGGGATCGACGATTCGAGTGGTTTACGCCAGCACACACACACACACACACCATGATTTCTGGATCTTTAGGGTTAAATATGCTTGGAGGTCAGGCAGTCTCGGACTGCAAGGATCAGGGCTCCGATTTATAAAGTAGTTATGTTCGGGAGCAGGCAATAAAACTTCTGTGATTCATTATTGAACCGACCTAAAGCCGATGCCGAGTACTCCGAGTGGCAAAAGTAGAACACGTGCCGATATCCTTCCGAAATTGCAGCTAAACTTAGCGGCCGACAAAGCCAAGATGTAAAGGCTCTATTTGCCTTTGCCATGAGTTTCTTATTAGCCAAATCTGTATGCGACCAGTGGTGGGCACCGGTCAAATAAACATGCCGCGACTGGGTATACATTTAAAAAGGAATTTGGCAGCGACAAGATCTTAGGGAGGGAACTCACACTTTTCCTCGTAAGCGGCTTCCTGAGGGAGAATTACGCCGTCATCTTCATCACAGTTACCATAGTAGGAAATGTCAACTTGTTTCATTAGTTCGCCACGAGTTTTACGAGGAATGGGTTGTGCTGTTTTGGTTCAAAAAAGAATAGCAGGATGTGAGATAGTGACGAGAGTGGTTCTCAGCAAAAACAGACGACAGAGCAGAATTCAAAATTAGTGTGCCAAAGTTAAGCTGAGATTACTACTCAGTTTCAGTGTACGCAAGGTCTAACAATGCATGTCTGGATGTTAATCTTTAAAAGGGCACCATCCAGGTAACTGAAGAAAGTCACATTTTCCAATAAAGGTCTGGGTGAATGGTATAAACTGTTTTCCAATTATTTTAAAGATATTTGTAAATCCAAACATATTTTGCGGAAAGTGCGTGTATGGTGCTGACCACGGCGGGCTAGCTTCCGTGGACTGAGCATTTCAACTAGACCTGTCAGATGGTATCAACTAGCATTTTCGAGCGGATGACTTTGCTTTGCTTCGATTAACGGTAGGTATAATTCATTCTAGACCGACGACCTCATCTACTTCCTACACTATGCGGGGCAGTCCGGAATGGCAGGCGCCCATTAGACATGGGAGAGTCCTGGAGAGATAAATGGACGTCATGGAGCTTATTTTGTTGGTCGAGCGGGAACACGGTAATTTCGAAATACTCATTCTAGGCCAGTCCTGGCTTGTTCCATGAGTGTTTGTATGTAATACCGGCACCGGTTGCGTATTTTTCTTCATAAAAGGCCCGTTTACGAAATTTTTCGCAACAACCACACCTATTTACGTTGGCGCGCGGGCAAGTTGTTTGAGTTATTATCGATAGGTGTTACTATTAGTTTTGCAAACGTACCTCCACGGGCCCGTGTCGTAACTACTGAAATCATATTGTCTCGATAACAAAAACTATAATTGCATACTAGTAGTGGACGTTAATATCGAGAACTGTCAAACCTCAGCAAACCACATTTTGTCGCTAAAATGCAACAACGTTGGCCTGTTTTCTTTCCACCCATTGTCCACTGAGAGCTTAACGTGACATGTGGTCAATTTGCTGTTCGAAAGCTGTTCTATCCCACCAAGTGTTGTCATAAACAGATGTAACAGCGAAAAAGGTACAAGTATTAGTGGACTACAGTGACCAGACCTAACACCCTTAACTTATTACAGACACGAAAGCGTAAAGCATACGTTAAAACATTAAATGTATTGACAAAGGGAAGAACAAAATAGGCTGTTGGCTAAAAATGACAGAGTTGGACTGGTAGTTTCCCATGATGAATCGACCGTTATGGACGGTATTCAGAGAGACGATAGCCTCTTGTATCCAGCTTTTGTGGGCGGTAGGAAGACAGGAATCGACAGAAGATGGGGTCTGTCTGTTGGTCTGCACGATGGCAGCCCGGTGCGCAAGTTAGTCGCTTGTGGAATGGCGTTTAATGAAAGGTAACTACGAGATAAGCACGCAAGCACTGCAAATAAACAGTTACGGACCGATGTGGTAGTTTTAGTAGGATACAAGAGTTAGCTCTGACAAACCGATTATGGAACTGCAGTAACAATAAGAGCTTATTAAATAAGTCATTTTTGTTACCAGCGATCTAGGGAACCTGACTTGCACCAAATCCCTGACTCCTATTTCCGACCAGGCTTCCGCCAATAGTCGTTTTGTACGGGTATGCGGGGTGACTACAGGACCCGAAAATGCGTCTGACCAATGATACCTGTTGTTCATTCTCCCAACTTTCCTCTCCGACCACGTTTCCAAAGAAAACCTGCAAAGTCCATCGGAAACTCGATTATGTAACTGTGCCCCCCTCGTCATGTACTACGCCGGTTTTAAAGAGAAATTGGTCGAGACTTCATCTCCCCTGAACCTGATGACGTTTGGTCTGTAGGGCTGGGGTGCCAACTAGTTCATCTCGGGTGGGAACCCATTTCTGACTGACTGCAATGAGGGAAAACGATTGTAATGTGGTCAAAATGCAGTAGGGGGTCGGCAGAATAGCTCATTGTGGATTTTGTGAGAACTCCAGTTCAAGGTTACACCCACCAATGTAAACGGCCACGAAATTGAGGATCTGCTATCGGGTCAGATTCCCAAAGTGCCTGAACTATAACCAAGTCAGATTAACAGACGTAAGACCCCGTTTTGAAGATAAACCGTCCGTGAAGCAAGAAATAACTCCATCTAATGGACACACTCAATTTTCCCTAATCAAATGGATAAGAAACAGTACCTAAGAAGGGGTAGCCAGCCGCAGTTAATTCAGGCCGAGTGCTCAGGCATCCATAACAGGAGATAGGGGTGAGATATTGAAAATTTCTCGCAATGATAGAGAAATCAATATGCGTACCTACTATAGCCAAAGTCAAAATGATACTATTGAAAACAGGTTGCGTAAATATTAGAACGGAACTCTTACGTTGTTCTTCAAACAGTTCCCGAACACCCGGCAGGTCTCTGGCTGCCCCAAAATATCGGTAACCCCGATTTCCTGGAGCCTCTCGACCATCCTTCTCTAGTAGTTTTGGAGCATCTGCTTTGTAATCTGGACCACCAAGCTCTTTGATTCGGAGATCCCATCGGTCTTTCTCACGAATCAATTTGTTGATTTCATCGTTGAGGTCGCGAAGCTTGTACTCGCCAAGACTAGCTATTAGCGGGGCAATCACGTAGCAATAAAATTCGCATACGATTCTGAATTTGGGCAATTTTCCGCGAAATCTCATGCACAACTTGACGTCTGAAAAACATCGCATCCTTCAAAATTTCGCAGTCTCCAGCGAAATGTGGTCTTTTCTTCAATTCGGCGACTTTGTCAACGTAGGCAGCGCGCCATCGCGCTAAGGCGGTCCTGAAAAGTAAACCACAAAAATATTGGACATTACATAGCCTTCTCCGCACTCCTTGCCATGTAAAGTACAGGGTAGTGTAGAAAATTACGGCAATTGGCCTTCGACTTTTTTGCATACAAAAGCAGCTCTGATGTGATCAGTATAACGCGTCTGCACAATTTCGTCGAAGGCCATTAATAGTCCGTTTCGTGTTCTATTTATAGCATCTCCCTTCAAATATTCTGGTCCCTCCTCTCTGTTTCATGAAATAGAACTATAAGCATATTAAGGTGGCGAAGAATAGAGAGCTTAACCAGTGATCAGGCAAGGCTGATTTACCCACTGTCCAACATCAGCGGTGATACCTTTGACGACCGCTGGTACTCTATTCAGAATAGATTGCCTATGTTCGCTGGCCATTGCCATTACGCAACTTCTTACTGGGCGACCTTCTGGATACTTCTCCTTACCCAGGCGTTGGGTCGCAGCTTACACCAACAAATGAATCGATCGATGCAACTTACTTCTCGCTCCCAAAGAATGAGTTTTATTTTTCTGAATCAAGACTATGTTTGGTCTGTTTGGGTGGCGTAGCAGGCTATCTTACGTTCTGATATCTTAGAAGCATGTACTGTGTCTATTCTATCTCACTTCTGTGCAACAAAACGTCCTTATAAGAAAGTTCGGGCCGTCTCCCCTGTTGATTGACGTATTTGATCGGCAGCTTTGCTACTAGTTTTGGAATGCAAATATCCAGGGGATAGCAAGCTCTCCGATCACCTTCGTGGCATACTTTTTATATAAGGAATATGATGATGAACAAAAAGACCCTCCATTGAATTCTCTTGAATATTTTTCCCACCCCTACACTTTTACCTTCGGTTCATACGTCCTCGATACCTGGAACCAAACCGAGTCCTCCGATCGTATAACGTAGGTTCAGTGCTTGGTTTCTCCTGTCTTTTCACAAATGTTGCAGTCTTGTTTCTTTCTCGCTTATATGGCCAATCTCAAGATGGTGGTAACTAAACTTTCCCGATGGTGGCTGCTTCCGACAAGGAGCGCTGGACCGGTCTCTATACCAGACCTTCCAGTCACGATCGCTCCGTTTCTTTTCTCGTTTGCCCATGAGTCCTTCACCAAAGGGACTCGCGGAGACAACGCCAACACCGTAATTCAAGCTCTGCGAGGTTCCATGTAGGAGAAGGTATCGGCTGACGAGCAAATCCTGTGGATCTACTTTGTAATTCTAGGCACGGATATTCGATCGTAGTATAGACGTTTCCTGGTCGACAGTGGAGTAAAGCGGAGTGTCGTTACCTCAACAGCGGCTAATCTTCACCAATACTAGCACGGCCTGTTATTATGGACCACCAGGTATACCCTATCACCATATTTCGATTGCGACTATTGTGTGTAGGACGTAGGCGTCTTCTCTCATTTACACATTTGTGGTTATCACTGTCTCGCCGTCCTATAGCAACTCATGGACCTTTCATTTGCAGACGGCTTTTGGACTTTCGGCAGCGAACCTTCATCGATGGGCACAACTGTTCGATTGTTTTCATCGTTCTTATCCGATCGCCGACATAATCGTCTCGTGCGCACAATCATCTATTATTGTTGGCTGCTACGAAAGTGTGTTGACTGCATTATTCATCTGCCAAACAATCTCCTCAGTCGAAAACGCTCCTTTTGTCATATGTCGGAGGGTATCATAAATTTCGAAAAACAAACTCCCTTCTGACCAATATTTTTTCCAGATGTATCCAGCCGCGGGTGCCCCTGTTCACTTCATAACCGGTGACTCTAATTTAGTTTTCGATGCGTTGCTGTAATAGCACCTTGCAAATTTTACCCAAATTACCATCCCTTTTATGAGAAACTGCCCCACGTCCAGACTAACCATAACACAGTTGGGCACTAGTTGTTCGACTGTTGTCTCGTTAAGAAGCATTTTAGTCCCCTTATGGAAAATCTACATTTTCCGGTCGTTATCGTCCCTAAACCATGAAGATTTGCCCTACGGTTTCGATCCAACAGAATTCATCCAGACAGATCCACCACTTGAATTTCATTTCCCAGCTCACCTCTGGTATTCGTCACGTCGGCTGATCTATACCGAATTAGAGTTTTAGTAACATGTCTCAAGGCCACCTAAGAAATCTTCCCAAAGCCTGACAAATCCCGTTATTATCATCAGTTGCCAAGTTCGTTGATTTATCTTCCGCAGGGATAATTTCCCCATTCAAAA